AACAACAACGGAATGAGGGGAATCTACCTGTATAAAAAGCCCGATGAGGGACTATACTAGGATAGTGCTGGATCGGCTCCTGTGGAGGAAATGAACCGACTGATGCGGACTGAGGCACATAAACAACCAGAGAACATTTTTTCCCTATAGGTCTCCGGAGTTGAACCCCCGGAGAAGTTCAAAATGCCAGTCCTGGAAACTTACAAATGAAGATCAAATCCCAACGACCACCGCACGTCTTTCAAATCGTCTATCTACATATTGAAGATTTCAAATGCCCTCAAGTGCAAGCTGTTCTTCAGACGCTAAGGTCAACCACTCTAAGTTGGTTCGATGGATTGCTCGTGGGGGTAGTCACATGTTTCACAGAGTTGAAGAAGCTCTTCCTATCCCAATTTGCTAGTGCCTTGAGGCCCAAGAAGAATGCTCAATCCTTGTGATAGCTAAAGCAAAGAAAAAACAAGAGCCTGCAAGCATTTATCGTGCATTTCCAAAGCGAGACGCTAAATGGCCATGTAATGGTGCTTATAAAATTCCCACAAAATGCTCTGCGGGACCTTTTTTTTTTCTTGTTCGCTTTTTGGGCAAATGAACACGTACATTTGATTCATTTGAGATTTGACTATATTTTCATTTAAAAAGGAAAATATAGGCCGGGACCACCTTAAATTAGATTTATATAAATGCAATTCAATTATGATGTTTTTATATATTTAACAACTAAATTTCACTTTTTTATATTTATATCATTCAGATTCTCTTACATCAATATACCAACCAATTCTTTTGTATTTACATATCCGCCCCCTAAATTTTAATTTTATATTTACACCACTCAAAATTTTCATACCACATTAAAAATATCATATTTTAACTTTTACAAAAGTTAAAAAAAAAACCTTTCTCATGCATAGAGAAAACGACATTTATATAAAAATTGATATTTGGTTGTAAGTTCTGTAAATACATCAGAATTGAGTGGTATGCATGTAAATCTTCCCATTTCAGCTGACAAATTTATTAAAATTACAGTTAACGAATCTTTCCAAATTAAAAATGTGGGCTAAAGCGTTACAGCACCAGCTTAACACTACTTGCACCTAACAATCAACGAAAGTTCGTCCACCCTTTCATTTTAGAAAAAAATATACGGACCGCTATATGGAGGGTGTTTTCTCCTCCGCTCCGAAGTCCAATGAATCACCTTCACGTGAAGTTGACAGAAAAAAGAACTCGTTTTCTTGTGATCTGGCTTGGTAACACAGAAAAATATTCTTCCCGCATTATTCAGGTGTTATTGTGGAGGTATTGATGTGTTATTGTGTTATTATAACACTGGGAATATTCCCAGAACATAATAAGACATAAATATCACCACAATAATACCTGAATAACGCGGAATAAAACTAGGGAATATTCTCTTATGCTAAAACTAAATTTTTTTATATCCCCTCCACGTGGCTTGATTTCATTAGACTCTAAATGTATTTCTACGTCCGAAGTCCGGACGTAATATTTATTCCCGTATGATATATGACATTTCATATCCAATCTCAGAATGCAATATTTTTTTCTACTTTTTAACGTAATATTATAAGCCTCACATTCTTCTTAACCTCTGTTTTTTTTTTGGCAAAAAAAAAAATATATATATTATTCCATTTATAACTTACAAAATTGACATTTAACGGCTGGAAAAATGAACATTGCGAAAATTTTTAATAACTTTTAAGGAAACAGAATCCTTTTGAGCCAACAAACCTGCCTACACAATTTAAATTTATTTATAATTATTTCCGTGATATGAGCTCTTCAAAATTAATTTGAATTTTAGCTCAGATCAAAATAAATAGCCGAGCTATAAGTTAAAACTCTGAATTAAATTTTTTTGAGCCAATTTTAAGCAATATAAGAATCGGCCCGAACTAGCTCGAAATTAGCTCGATTTATTTTTATAGGAGCAACTAGCCTATTTAGAGCTGAAACGGATCCAAATAACTCAATTTGAGGTATTTATTTTTGATTTCAAGCTGGAACGGATAAAAAAAACTCAAATTTGAGTCCGCTCATTTTGATTTCAAGCTGGATCAAGCTTGATTCAATTTTGAGGCTGGCTCGAAATCAAATATAATGAATCATGAATCAATTTTGATCCAAATTCAATTCATTACCCGGTTCTGAGCCGGCCCTGACTCAGCACGAAATGGACTCATTAACAACCCTAATTCGGTGCAACACGTCATGAATGGCAAGTCGAGTTACACATATCTCATGTAACTTATAATTATGAGAAGAAAATATTACGTCTAGAGTCGGAAGGAGTCCACCTTCACATTATTATGTTTTTCTTCAACTATAGTATGCGGGGCTGGTGATCTGATCGTGGGGGTCATGCACGTCTCGAATAACTTATATTCTGTGTTTTTGATCATTTATTTCCCTCCCTTCCGCTTCTTCTCTCTCCTCCTTGAATTCTCACACTTGATTCGATCAAGGAAATCTTCTCCTTCAAGCTCGCACTCCGATCGGAGCCATTCGCGGCCTCCAATTGCTTGCAGAGGTGATCGATCTTCTGATTTTTTGCCGTTTCTAACACTGCATTTTGTCCTTCTAGCTGGCCCATTAATTAGGGTTGCTGAGCCATCAGTTTTTTTTGTGCAGAGATTTTGGGTTGAATTCCCTGTTTGATAATTTTGTTCTAAGATAGGCATGTTTTGAATGCGTTTCGAATGTTGTTGGTTATTCAATGAGCCTTGTCGCTATTTCACAATTTCATCCTTGCCGTCTGTCTGATGGCTGCAAAGTTTTGATTATTCTAACTATTTGTCCCTTTCAAGAATTGAAACTTTGATTTAGTCCATGAAAGTTAGATTGAGCTGGAAGAGTGGTGGAGGTTTTGTTCGTTTCACTGAGGCGGCTTTTTGGCACAAATATCTTCACTGTTATTTTAGAAGATAGTATTCTTGTCCTCAAGTAGCCGATATTTGACCTAAACTAGTTGACAATTTTTCTCTAGAACTTCTTGGCTGATGAGCGGTACCATAATTCTGTCTAACCTTTTTTCGATACTTGCAAGAATAGATTCTTTTCTGAATTGAAATTGCACTGTTGAATTCAGAAATGCGTTGGTTTCTCAGGTATATCAATGGAGAGGTTGTCTGGTTTCTAAGGCTGTGGATGGTTTAAGGGGATGAAAGGAGTGTCGTGGGGACTGGTTGTAGGGGTCACAGTTGGCGTTGTGATCGGGATTCTTTTGGCAACAGTTGCTTTGTTCTGCAATTGGTTGAGGAAAAGGCATCCTCAGCTTGGAAATAGCAGCTCAAGGAGGGCTTCCACCGTACCTATCCGAACTAATGGAGTGGATACATGTACAGTACTATCGGACTCAACAATCGGCCAGGAATCCCCGAGAATTCCAGAAGAGAGCAGCGTTTCATTGTGGATTGAGGGACCTAAAAGAAAAGGTGTGATGTCGGTGTCCGGCATACCTAAGTATGCTTACAAGTAAGATTATTCTAATTTCTAAAATTTTGTTTCTTTAATGCCTTGTTCTTTCTTTTTTTCTCTTTCCTGGCAAGTAATGTTGAATATGGTTGCTTTTTTTGCGCTATTGTTGGAATGGATAATATTGTTTTAAAACACTTATTACGGCTGCTGGCAGATAACTTTCCGAAGATCCTTGAATCCATTATCGCTGGTTCAGGCCTTGATGTTCCTAAATCATTTTTTGTTAATGTAATGGGAAAACTTTCTTTCTTCTTATTTCACAATTGAATTGCATATTTAAATATACTCCTATCTCTATAGATTATGAATATCTCTAATATAGAAAAGATATAGTATATAAATTTCCTCTTATTTGGTTACCTAATATTAAGCTTCTTGATATACAAATATTAGGTGAAATAATTTTCATAACACTCCCCCGCAAGCTAGAGCATGGATATTTGTCATGCACAACTTGTTACAAGTAACCCTAGCTCCATTAAGGTCCTTTGTAAAGATGTCTGTTAATTGTTCCCTAGTACGAGCTTTAGAAATCAAATTTTGTTAAATCTTTTTATGAACAAAATGACAATCTATCTTAGGCTCTGTTTGGCGCAGCTGCAGCTTCCCAACTTTTCAGCTGCAGCTGTGCTGCCCCAGGAAGCTGCTGCGGGGAAGCAGCTGCAGGGAAGCTGGCTGTCTGTTTGGGAAGCTGGCTGTCTGTTTGGTGCAGCTGTGTGAAAACAGCTGCAAAGTAGCTGTTTCTAGAAAAATGACAATTCTGCCCTTGTTTAATAAAATTGTTTCATATATATAGTTAACTGTTTCATATATGCATTTAACTTTCATATATATGGTTAACTTTTTATTATGACAACCCATATTTAGTAAATTTTTAGTAGATTAAAACCTTAAAAATGTTTAAATAATAGAAATGTTTAAAACCCAAGCTTCGCATAAATGAATTGTGCGGTATGTAAATATATAAGAATTCTATGGTCAAAAACATATGTAAATATATAAGAATTCTGTGCTATGTATGTAAAGCTTGGGAATTATGTGTTATATATGTAAATTAAATCAGACATATTTCTTACATTTAGGTGTCGAGAATTGTAAATATATAAGAATTTTGTGATATGTATGTAAATGCCCAATACTTGCTCAAATATGTTTTCAATTCCTGCAACGACATCAAATAAAAACTTCTTTCCCCTTTACTTGCTCAAATTTTAGTAAACCTGCAAGAACTGACAATCTAAAAGAATATGAAAATACATACAAGTTGCAAATATGTGTTATTTATGTAAATGCCCCTACAACAGAAAATACTGTTTCTCGATAATATAAAAATTGCAACCAACGATCATTAGCAAATAGCAGAAAATAATTGAAAAAAATTATTAGCAAATACCAGAAAATTTCAAAAATGGCAACCAATTATCATTAGCAGAAAATGAATCACTAGCAGAAAATTGCAAAAACTAGCAAAAAATCATTAGCAAATAGCAGAAAATAGTATTAATGTGTTGTCGGCAGGGAAAAGTTCAGAATTGCTAACGGGGAGGGCTCCTTCACTAGTTTTCTAGGAGTAGTCGACAGAAAAGTCCTACGACTAGATCCTAGGCTATTAAGGAGGGGAAAACTACACCTTGACCGAAAGCGAGGTCAACAAACGAACCCCCAATAGGTGTGGTGTGCTGGGCGAGCACACCGCGCGTTGACCGACGTAATCAACGGGACCAATACAGGTTTTCAAGCCAACAGGCTTAGAAAGAAGCGTAGAATCGAGTGCTAATTGTTTCCGTTGGGGAATTAGCCAATGATCATTCGACTTTAAAATTGGTGATCAGGAACTCTCGCCGTGGAATGGAGAGTGGATTTGAAGTCACCAAATTTCCAACACTTGTCGAGGATGGGAATTAGCATTTAGATGCTGGCCCCAAGGTGGGAATTCGAAGTTTAGAAATTGATCTTGAAAAGGAGAGTTGGAATTTAGGTACCGATCTCGAAAGATAGGAATCAAAATTTAGGTACTGATTCAAAAAGAGAATTGAAATTTAGGTATCAATTCAAGAAGAGCGAGTCGAAATTTAGGTATCGACCTCGAAAGGTAGGGATCAGAATTTAGGTACTGATTCAAAAATGAAAATTGAAATTTAGGTATCAATTCCCAGGAAGAGAGTCGAAATTTAGGTATCGACCAAGGAAGATAGGAATCAGAATTCAGGTACTGATTCGAAAATGAAAATTGAAATTTAGGTATCAATTCCCAAGAAGAGAGTCGAAATTTAAGTATCGACATCGGAAGATAGGAATCAGAATTTAGGTACTGATTCGAAAATAAAAATTGAAATTTAGGTATCAATTCCCAGGAAGAGAGTCGAAATTTAGGTATCGACCTCGGAAGATAGGAATCAGAATTTAGGTACTGATTCGAAAATGAGAATTGAAATTTAGGTATCAATCTCAGGATGAGAGTCGAAATTTAGGTATCAATCTCAGGATGAGAGTCGAAATTTAGGTATCAATCTCAGGATGAGAGTCGAAATTTAGGTATCAATCTCAGGATGAGAGTCGAAATTTAGGTATCAATCTCAGGATGAGAGTCGAAATTTAGGTATCAATCTCAGGATGAGAGTCGAAATTTAGGTATCGACCAAGGAAGATAGGAATCAGAATTCAGGTACTGATTCGAAAATGAAAATTGAAATTTAGGTATCAATTCCCAAGAAGAGAGTCGAAATTTAAGTATCGACATCGGAAGATAGGAATCAGAATTTAGGTACTGATTCAAAAATGATAATTGAAATTTAACTATCAATCTCAGGATGAGAGTTGAAATTTAGGTATTGACATCGGAAGATAAGAATCAGAATTTAGGTACTGATTCAAAAGGAGAATTGAAATTTAGGTATCAATTCCTGGAAGAGAGAGTCGAAATTTAGGTATCGACCTCGAAAGGTAGGAATCTGAATTTATGTACTGATTCGAAAATGAGAATTGAAATTTAGGTATCAATTCCCAGGAAGAGAGTCGAAATTTAGGTATCGACCTCGGAAGATAGGAACCAGAATTTAGGTATTGATTCGAAAATGAGAATTGAAATTTAGGTATCAATCTCATGATGAGAGTCGAAATTTAGGTATCGACCTCGAAAGATAGGAATCATAATTTAGGTATTGATCCGAAAATGAGAATTGAAATTTAGGTATCAATCTCAAGATGAGAGTCGAAATTTAGGTGGTTCGCTAGTACGTTGTAATCCACTTTGCTTGAACTTCTAGTTTCCTCTCGAGCATTTGTTTCTTCCATCGTTGGAGGTGGTTCGCTTGAAGTAACTGCTTGTTTTCTTTTTTCCATTAAAGCCGTCCCTGAGGGTAACACTTTTCCTCTTCTTAAATATACTTCGGTTATCTCTTCTGACACTGTGGTTGATTCCTCAAGTGTAGATTCTGAATCGGATGAATCACAGTTGATGGCGATCGGTATTCCTTTATATTCAAGGACTGGTTCGTCATTTCCCGAACTGTCATATCCGGTATCGTTGACATCCTTACCAATCTGGCTAACGGGTTTATCAGACTTAAGTACGATTTGAGGATCGGTTTGGGAATCGAGATCGAAACTAGAGTGACCAAAATCAGTTACGCTATTACCAGAAACAGTTAAAACGTAGCCGAAATCATCATCACTATATTCATAATACCCCGGAGGAGCAAAAAGATAATCATACATGGTCAAGGGTTCGAGGATTTTTTTCCTCCAAATTTGAGACAACTAATCTAGCAGAGGCGACCCCTACCAGTCTTCATGACGTCGCTCTTTTCTCTCTTCTCAGGTTGTAGTGGTTTATTTGGTAAAATCTCCAACTTGGGCTGAACAGTCTGAATGGAGGCTTGTGCTGAAGCGGTCCAAACGATCTGAATCTGATTTAATATCTTTTTGGACGATTTGTTCCAAATTGTAGTCCATTCATCTTTTTCTGAGTACAACCTTATTGGAGTGATTGTCTCAGCTGAAATCATATTTACAGAACTCCTTTCAGGTTCTTTTAAATATTCTTTCGGGATCATTATATTCTCTTCTTTAAGGTTCCTCTCGAGCCAATCCTTGAAGACGAAACAATCCTCTATAGTGTGTCCGAGCATTCTGTGATACAATAATTGGGTTGATTGATCCTTCTTATTGACCTCCTCTGGCCTCTTTGGAGCTGGTAATCTGAATTCGGACTTCTTCATTAGACTCTTAAATATTTTGGGTACTGCTTCATCTTTGAAGGAATATATCATTTTCTGTCGTTCTGCCAAAGATGTTTGCTTATTCTCTGCTCGGTATGACCCTTCCTGACGTGGTCGTTGGGCAGGTTGACCATACTGTCGCGTCTGCTGCTGTTGGTTATGTTGCGATGGTGGCTGAGAATCCCGACGGAAATCCTCTGCATATATCTTTATTGGTTGTTTTCTCTTGTCAACTGTTGTCACTACCCCAGATTTTTTTTCGAATATCCTGGTTGTCTTGGACTTTTCTGTCTTCTCATGAGAATCCATATGCTTGGCCTCTTCTTGCAGATTACTGGCTTTGCTGAGCAGCTTTTCAAAGGATTTGATGGTGAGTCCCTTAAGCATGAAAGCTATTCGCCCATGAATACTTTTGAGTAGGATCTCAATCGTATGATGTTCTTGTAGCTGAGGTTCACATTTCATACTAAGGTTTCTCCACCTCAAAATATAATCTACTAGAGTCTCGTTAGGTTTTTGCTTCTCTATCACGAGATCTCCTATAGAAACATGGTGCTGCGTTCCGGCGAATCTCTTCATGAACAATTGTTCCAAGTCGAAGAAAGTCTTTACTGATCCATTAGGTAATTTGGCATACCAATCAAAAGCTATCCCTGATAAACTGCTGAAAAACTGTCGGAAGAGTAAAGATTCATTTTCTCCTACCACAGCTGGCTCGGAAATGTGCTATGTGTTGTCTGGGGTTTCCAATCCCGTTGAATATCTTAAAGTTCGATG